GTATACTTGGATAGTTTAATTTGTACAAAACATATACCGAAATGCTTTAGAAACATTTCATCAGTGCAATATTCCACCTCACGAGAAATTTGATGTAAATTTTTCAAAGAGCAGTTTAATCAGATTAAAAGTGTCTTACAAATGTATGACTCCAATATTCATATTTTGTGAAACGCGATTCTATGAATAAATGTATACATACTAGTAAGTACACGGAGTTCACTTATATCTGGCGTGTGGCGAGATGAACTGACACAAGCATAACATAGCATGACCTGTACATGATAGACAACAAAAGCAACCCACTTATCTGATATTAAATATATAGCAAATGCAATGAAGTGATAATATATATACCTGTCTAAGTCATGGGGGATGATACCCCGGTAGAACAAGTATAGATGCACAATCTGTGAAGCCCAACTTCACAAGAAGTAATATGATATGCAATCGATATGTAAGAAACCCTAAGATGCCTAAAAGAAGACATGCGCTTGTCCTTTGAACGAAAAATCTGACATGCACTGTCTGCTGAGCAACGGTATCGTGAGGTTTAAGCTTACTTCCATTAGTTCTATATTAGAGCTAGATGGACAAGCTACAGTGTGCATGCTCTTTGAGGAACACTTTTTTTTCTTGGACGTCTTCACCATCTACAGTAGTAGCTACAGAAACTTAACAATGAGCGATTGCTCACAATCGGAAGGTGTATAAATGATACACTAGCTGTCCTAAACGTGCACTTTAACAGATCTGATTATCCCAGAATTTAACTTGATAAGCTTGATTTAAATAAAAACCCTGATCACCTACCTGCAGAGAGTGGCCTTTAATGCGTAACGCCAACGGCGAATCTACAGAGATATCGTAGGACTGTGGCGTATTAGATTATTTGAGACGTTATTTGATTTATGCATTGGGCGTAAAAGGACGATCCAAAGGGTTCACTTAAATCTTCCTTTCTCATCCAAATAATCTGTACGCTAGAAATATATCGAAATAGATTACCCAGCCTATGAAATACATTTAAAAAATCTGAATAGCACAAAAATGCGTTTTACAGCAACGCGCCTTAAAATTGAAGCGACAGACGTTGAAGTCACGTGGTCTGAGTCGCGTCGAGTTGCCAACGTGGGCCACGCATCAGCTAAAGCGTCATACTGAAGTTTGAAAAGGTGTGTGCTATGTTTAACACGGACACCAAAAAGATATCAGTTATAAAATATCTTAACAAAAAATCACAAACCGGTGCATGTACGCATTTTAATCGTGTTTTCAGTAAAAACTAGGTTGGTTTAAACTTAACGAATTGACAGGTGTTTTATTTCTGACTGTGGATTTGTGGCTCCGGACGCGATTCTTGACTCCAACTTGTGCAAAAAAGCACTTTTACCGACGTCAGTGAACATATATTAGGCTTTAAGGTCAACAAAAAATTCAATGGTTTTCGTCATCTAAAAAAATATTGTACTTTTGCCTCTTCAAATAGGACATGTTTATAGGCCTTAGCAAAAACACAAACACATTTCCCTATCATTTCCTATTTCCTATAATTTCCAAAAACAATACTGTACAACCTCAGGCTTGTCTCCTTATAGTAAGTAACAGTATTTGGATCGCTTTGGTCGCTTGTCACAACTTGTGAAAACTAGAGGTGTGTTCCATCAGGATCTCTCACATTTGGAGACTGGGACAGTTTCGACTCCATCACTTGATAGCTGATGCTATTTAGATGAGGACGATGTAAAAAAAACAATTCTCTTTTTTTTTTTTCTTTTTTTTTTTTTTTTTTTTTGCTAAGAAACGACAGCAATGGTTGATATTTCGTAATGTTCTGTTGGAATATTTCGTCATCTTTAGCAACAGTGTATGTACATATTTTTGGAATGGCTCGGTAGACACTTATTTTGGAAATACTGATTTATGGGCCTTTGACTTATGCAAATTATGCAAGTGCTAAGCGGAAAATTGGAAAAGTAAGCTTGCCCTGTCCAATAAACGTACAGTCTCAGCTCAAGTGAACGCTGATTTTAAAATACCTTGAGAGAAAGGTGTTGGCCACTGGTACGTCACAGACCACGTGCCTTCCAGACCTTGCGCAAAAGGAGCATTTTCTAAACTCGTTATCTACAAAGCTGCACTCAAGTCTTATATTATAATATGGAAATAGATGTTCAGCTAGTTTCCTAAATACTGTCCATCGTTCAAGCCATTTAATTATTAATTCGGTTCTCCTTTAATAAACGACTGACCTGTATAACCTTAACCAATGGTCAAAGGGGAATCAAAAAGTACAAAAGTGTGCCTGCATTTGAGCATCTAAGGACAATGAGATGTTATCCTTAATGAAAAACGATTATAGGCTTTAAGTTATTGGTTATTTCATAGAGGCCTCTTGGACACATGTTAAAATGTGACACGTTTGATCATCAAAAAAACTCGATTTAATGAGAAAATTTAACCTCATTATTATACGTTACTGACACCTCCTGATAAGTGATGCTTCTCATTAGTTATAAGGCTACTCAATATGGTTTAAAGCATTTTGATTATACCGTTTTGATTATATATATTCTATGTAATTATTTTACAAAAGCACTTCATTGAAACCAATTTCTTTGTTCTACCCTTGTACTGAGTCTTGCATTTCATTCAAAGTACCTTCGTACTTGAAATCGTGGACCCGCCCTACCTGTCACCCTTCAAATGGATTGGAATTGTCCCTCTCGTCCCTCTTAATAACATTTGAAGTCATTAAGTCATTCGGAACTAATCACTTAAAGGAACGACTCAATCTGAGAAAAGTTATCAGATACTTTAAAAGTTAATTGAGAGTCAAGCTCTGATGCCAAAAGACATAAAACTTGCACATTGGACAGGGTTCAAACGTCAGTAGAAACTTGAATCTTTTATAACTTTCGATAGAAGATAAGTAAATTAGATCAAAGCATCTTTATGTTTAAGCACTCAGGATAAAGGGTAAAAGAATTCCGGGGCCTACTCTGAAAACGAAGCGATGCAACTGCCTGCTTTGAATGCATTGGTATTATAGTGTCATACCAGTGTACCAAGCACTAGGGTGGACAATGTTTAAAGTCCGGACAATATACATGTACAATTTCACCTGAACAAAATTGCAACGGAATACATTATTCCACTACGCATTTTCATGGAGTCTCCCAACAATATAGTAAAAGCCCCTAAGAATCCCTACATTAAAGGCATGAAATATCCAACATGGCCGCCAATTGCCAGAGAAAAATATATGTCCCAGCTGGCACAATACAT